TAGCAATGAAATATCCTAAGAAGTTAATTTAATCAATAACATGAAAGGCAGCTCAAAGGTAGCGATGCTCTTATACTGTTATAAATAGTACAAGAAAATTCTAGGGTTTTCAAAATAAATCAAACGATAATAAACCCTAGAAATTTAATCTATTACACATGATTAATTCAAAGAGGAGATTAACAATAGTTGCGGAAGAGTACCTGGATCCATGGAATTTTGGCAGTCCATGCAGTCAGCTTAGTCAGCTGGTACTATACATGTGTCAGCATTAGGTGATTTGATTCATCCTTATATTTGTTGCGGCGTCGACAAAGGAAATAAGGTGGTGACAAGGTCTGATGAGTCATTAAGACTTTTGGTAGGGATGTAATGATGATTCCGATTGTATATTTAATGTGATGGTGATTGGTTGTAGGCGAGGGGTTCGAGAATGATTGCATTTCGTCTTGGCTTCAAGAGAGGCCGAGAAAAGACGCCTTTCATCTCGGCCCTCGAGGGAGACGAGAAGGGACACCTCTCATCTTGTCCTTCGAAGGAGATAAGAAGTTGGTGTGTCTGGGTCGAGTCCGTGTGTAGTCTGCTTGAGACACGTGTCAGCTAGTTGAAGCGATTAACACTTCCTTATTTCTGTGGCACAACACCAATGAATCCCCCCCCCCCCAACCCCTTCTCTCCCAATGGCCCAAAGTTTAACATCATGGTTGTTTGAAAATTGGGTGATAGCAATTTTAAATCTGAACTAGATAACAAAATTGAATACCTCATCAGAGAATTTTAGTGACGACTGCCCCTCAAACAGCAAACCTGAATCTCTTTAATAGGCGTGACGGGACTATTTTCTGAAAATACATTTTGTGCAAGTCCAGTTTGTGTATTTAATCAAAGTTGCAACTCAAGAAGCCAATTAATGACAGGCAATTACCATTTCAGTTCGAGATAAGTATTTTATCACAGATGTGTCCTGTTTTATCATGATTTCGACAGGAGCTTTTATTAACTTGACAGACAACAGCCCAGTGATCCGTTAATCCCTCAACAAATATTGAGATTAGGCATGCCTTCACTAAGTTTTCCATAGGAATATGTTGGCCTTGGATATGGATTTTATGACTAGTATAACTTGGATATGAACTTCATTCAAGCATAACCCTGTAGCAATGAAATATCCTAAGAAGTTAATTTAATCAATAACATGAAAGGCAGCTCAAAGGTAGCGATGCTAATTAACAATATGAAAGCTTATACGGTTGTAAATAGCACAAGAAAATTCTAGGGTTTTCAAAATAAATCAAACGACAATAAACCCTAGAAATTTAATCTAATACACATGATTAATCCAAAGAGGAGATTAACAATAGTTGCGGAAGAGTACCTGGATCCATGAATTAATTTGCAGAAAAATTACCGAAGGGATTGAGATCTTCTAATCTGAATGGCCTTTCCAAAATTCCTCTCTAGATGAGGGTGAAGAGAAAAAGAGAACATGCAATTACATTAAGGACCATAACCCATAAAATAGTTATTGCAATTTCTAATTTGACCCCTCATCAAATTAAAATTACAATCTGGTATCTACACAATGGGCCCATGACACATTCAATACTCACTGACCCAATTTACCTGATTGATCACTTTATGCGGGTCAACTTTAAAGGATAGTGTTACACACTAATATAACATATGTGCCCACAATTTAGATTTAATCCAACATATACATCCAGATTTCATTCGTACAAGCCTTGATTCCTTCTGCAAAAACAGCATGAGAGTCTTTCCACGGGTTACTGTCACAACCTGATCAGACTTGATTCAGTCTCTGTGACAAGATGAGACAACCTCAAACCGATACTCCATTGTTTGGTTCATCGCGTTGCTTCAAATAGGATGGACGAGGGAAAGTCTCTGTCGACTCTTGAATTCTTCTGTTGACTGCGCGTAGCTCGGTAGACTGGGTTTTGGTTTGTTGTTTGGGACAAAGAGGGTTCAGAGTCGACTGGTATTATCAGTCATTTGGGCTCTATGCTTCACTCTTGTGACACATTCAGTCTACTACGTTCAACTCCGTCGGTAATGTTTTATCTCATGCGTCGCGATCTGCACGCTCAGAGTAGACTGAGCTAAGATTCAGCCGACTGAGCTCGCGATTTTGCTGATCATTAATTCTTCTCCTTGTTGTTTCTCGTCAATTGTTTGGCCAAGTTGCATGTGCATTTGTAGGACTCCTTTACCGTTGTTTTTACACCAGAATCCAAGGTTGCTTGGGGTTTATCACATATGATGTTAAAGGTTTTGTGAGAGAAAAGTTTGGGTTTCAATCTAGTTTCGATTAAACTTGTTATTTAGGGTTCTAATTTATGGGAAAGTCGCATTATAATTACACCATGAGTGTTCGAACCGTATTTATACACGCGTCAATATCGAATATTATTTATATGAAAATTCGGGTCTTACACAGCGTCTTGCTTTTAAATCCCAAACTTGTTCCATGTGTGCCTTTGAGTCTTTAGATTGAGGGGTGTTTGGGGAGGTTATCATTATTATTATTTTTTTTATCAAACTAGTTTATTAGCTAATTTTTTCATATCTATATTTTTGGTAACATCTCAACATAAGCCAGCAAGGTTTCATTTTAAAATGGTTAGGTTTTCCCAACTTTTGTAATACTAGCTTAAAAACTCATCCAAAATAAGCTAAGTTTATCCAAACAAATGACTATTATTATCCACACAATATCCTTTTTTTTTAATTAACATAAAAGCCAAACACTATCAAAAGCTAGCATAACTTATAAGCTTAAGAAAAATAAGTCCTCCGAAACAGCCTCTAAATCTGAAATCGCATGAAGTGTATACTCGTAGCGTATCAAATGCCCAAAAGGGCCTAACGACAACTTTAGAGGTAACACAATGTAATTTTAGATGAATCTTAAGGTGTATACGGTAATTCTTTAAAACTAGTTAAAGATTGATCTTGACCTAGTTTTTGGATGTTATGTAAGTTTGGCTAAAATTATGCAAAAACACCCCTAATTTTCTTAAACTAAGTTTTGTTCTTAAAACTGGTTCTTTTCCAAACCAACTACGTGGAACAACTTGAGCCCATTTTAGCATAAAAATGAACGAGGATCAATGCTAGTCCGGTTTTAAAGGATTTGCGAGAACCAAATAGGGTTTTTCAATATTAGTTCCCCCAAAATTTCAATATCTTGAGATTAGTCTCCAAATCATCATATTTTAAAATTAGTCCCCAAATCTTAATATTTTGAAACTAAAACCCCCCATAATTTTAAAGTGTTTCGAAATTAGTCCCTCTAATAAGCACCAAGTTGAAGATTTGGGGGACTAATTTCAAAATGGTTTACACATTTTGAGGACTAATTTCAAAATGTTAAAAGATTTGGGGGACTAATTTCAAAGTATTGAAGATTTGAAGGATTACTACCGAAGAACCCATCCGAAAAACAAAAGGTGTTCTTTGGAATTTGTCCTTTAAACCTTAATAATTTGAAATTAGTGACTCAAATCATTAAAATTACTACTAAGTCCCGTAATTCTTAATTGGAATCAGAGGGGATAACTTGAAAACCAATTTATAAGAATGGCATGATCTTAATTGGAGTTTCAATGATTTGAGGGAATAATCATAAAACACTCCACAGAAGTTAAGGGGACTTAATTGCGATCCCAAAGATGTAGAGGACTATTTGATAATATTAAAGAAAGCCCTTGAACCTCTCCAAAACCTTAATTCTGCTGGATCACCAAAAATCGTTCGCAGAGAAGAGATGAGCAGCAGCAGCAACTGGCGATCCCTCCTCCTCCGCATCGGCGACAAGTGCCCGGAGTACGGCGGCTCCGGCGACCACAAGGAACACATTGTAAAGCTCCTCTCTCTCTCTCTCTCTCTCTTAATTTTTTAAAACCCTAGATTCTCCTCATTCTCTAAACCCTAGCTTTTTCTAAGGGATTGCATCATAAACCCTAACTCGACCTATTTGAATCGCAGGATACGTGTTACAGCGCAATCTTGCGCGAGTGGGAGAATTCTAAAGATGACATCTTTGAGGTAAATTTAATCTCTGTGTTATAGTTCGTTATTTGATTTCTCTTTTTCTGACTGAAACTGGAGGAAATTTCCCTGAATTTAATCTTGTTGTACATGGAAAAGAGTATATGAATCTTAATTTCATAGTAGAAAGCCATGAAGAGTGACGGATCCAGTATTTCCGTAAAATAGCGTCACTACATAATTAGTAATTAAAAAGATTTTACAATTGTCCCCAACGAGTATTCATATTTTGAAAAGAAAAAAAGAATACATAATTGCATCTTTAGAAATATTGTCAAATACATCTTTCTCAATATATGTCATAAGAATGAGTTTTTGTGTTACGGACTTGAATTGAAAGGTGAATTTTTTAGTGGATAAATTCCAGAAAAACCTCCTCGACTTTTCGCATTTCTTGGATAACTCCCCTAGCTTTCAAACTACACAAAACCCTCCTTATGTTCTAGGGTTCTTGGAAAGAACCCTTCAACTTTCAATATCTTTCACAAAAAAACTCTTAACAGTGTTAACCGCAATTTTTCATGTGGGTGGGCAAAATTACATAGGAAGATATTTTGCTAGTGACTTGTGGTTCACATTTTTAGAGGATTTTTCTAAAAACATTGAAAGCGTGCTTTTTTTTTTTAAGAAAAAGGATGGGGACTCAAATAGAATCCGCAGCCACCATCACATTCCTTCAAAAACAGATTGGATTCATATAGCACCATGACCCCCAATCTTAAGATAATGATGAAACAGATACCACCATTACATCAGCTCATAAAAAAAACGCCATCCCCTTATGTTTCTTATATACAACCACATTACTGTCCAAAAACTACGCAAACTAACCAAGAAAGCAAGCATATAAAAAAAGCGATCGAAGCATCTAAGCAATCTCCTTATTTCCACTTTAAGTCCTCCGATTGAGTCTTCCTCGCCTCTAACAGCAATGTCAGCATTATTATCCTTAATTCTGGCAGCAGGGTGACTCCAATCCTTTTGTTTTTGCGCCCTGTAACACATTGATTATGAAAATCTACCTGGAACGTTGTCAATCCAAAACAACGCAAAATAGTTAATTTTTCCCAAAACCTCCAGAGCATGAAGTTCTTTTTTATTATGACACTCTCATGTTATGTTCATGCCATATTGACCAAATTAAAGCGCTGACAATCTGACATAGATATCCCAACAAAATCTTTTATCTGTGGGCACCTTAACAAGTCTCCATCATGACCACAAGTTTCTAAGCTTATCAATATCTGCCAAAATCTGCAACTTATGCATTAGAGTTCTCCACAAAGAATGTACAAAATTACATTTCAAGAAAAAATGTTCGCAAGTTTCCTCACATCTTTCACATAACACAAAAATATTATCAGTTTGTACTTCTTTCTTCAATAAATTGCTTTTAGAATTCAACTTATCAAGAGTGGCTAACCAAAGAAGAATCTTCACTTTATTAGGCACAGGAACACCCCAAATACACACAATATCACATCTTAACCCACCATCAATCAGAAAATGATACAAAAATCTAACAATAAACTTCCCCTTACTTTCCCATACCTAGATCCTACTATCATCCTCCTGTTTGAATGAAACAGAACTTATAATGTGCAACATATTCACATATTCATAAACCAAATCCCCTTGAAGTTGCGTGATGAAAGATATGTTCCAACACCAGTTACCATTAATGCATGTTCTACGTGATATGACGGAAGCATTAGGTTTTTCACCGAACTTAAAAAGATCAGGAAACAGAGAGGACAATGAGCCATCCACAACACATCATTTGTCTAGCCAAAAAAAAAGGTCTGATTCCCATTTCCTAAAACCACCCTAGTACTCAACAAAAAACAATCAATTGATTTAAGAATACTTCTCCAAAACTTATACCCCTCAATTCTCTGATTAATCTTCAGTTCACCACCCTCATAATAATTATGTGACACAATCTTTTTCCATAAAGGTAATGAGCCATCATACCATCTCCACAACCATTTACCTAGAAGGGCTTTATTCATGGCGGTTTGTAACTCTAAAATCCCTAACCCTCCACAACTCTTAAGGTTTACACACTAAACTTCATGCTACCAAATTATTAGCATTAGCTTTCTCATCCCCCCCACAAAAAAAAAAAAAAAATCTCATTCTGCTTCTATCAATCCTACCACGCACCCATTTGGGAAACCTAAAAAAAATATCCAAAATAGTGGAACGACAGTGAAGACTGAATTTACCAAAGTCCCCCCTACAAGGTTTTACCTTTCCAACTAGGCAACCTTCTATCAATTTTATCCAACGGATACCAATCCTCTTTAAAAAGTTTACTAGGTCCAAGAGGGACACCCATATATAGTAGGAAAAGCACCTACTTGGCAATTCATCATGCAAGCAACCAATTGTTGTAACTCCTCATTATGTTCTAGCAAAATGACTAAGCTTTTAGAAACGTTAATCTTGAGACCTAAAATCATTTCAAAACCATATAACATCAACTTCAAAGTGGTCAATTAGTTCCTATTAGATTTGCAAAAGACAAGAGTGTCATTTGCATATTGTAAACATAACACTTTTCTAGGACAACTATTAGGACCTAAGCCTTGTATTAAATTTTGGCTTTCTGCTAAGAACATTATCTTGGAAAAAAATTAACATCTATCAAACAAAAGTAGGGAGAGGTGGTCTCCTTGTCTAACACCCCTTCCTGTATAAATTCAATTACCAGGGTTACCATTAATAAAATTACAGATTTTCCTCCATGTAGACAAAGACTAGCCTATTTAATCCATCTATCTCCAAACCCTCTTGCTTTCAAAATATCCAATATGAACCTCCAATCTAACATATCATAGGCCTTTGGAAAATCTAACTTCAACAAGACTCCACCTACGTTTTTCTTATGGAAACATTCATTTATTATTTTTTGGGCTGCTGCCATTCCCTCTAATAATAATCTGCCCTTAATAAAATCTGATTGAATTGGATCAACAAGCCTTGCTTAGTATTAAGCCTATTAGTGAGCACTTTAGTAATTATATTATACACAACATTCAGCAAACTTATAGGTCTATACTTCAACTAGATGAGCATATGTCTTCTTAGGGAGAAGCACAATACATGCATAATTCAATCTGTCAATCTCTAAGTTTCCTTCATATAACTCCTCAAACATGCTAAACACATCATTTTTCACAATCTCGCAAAATTCCTAAAAAAAGAGGAGAAAAATCATCTAGTCCAGGAGATTTATCATTATTCATATCAAGCACTGTTCTTCTAACTTCCTCAATAGAGAAAGGACTTTCTGTTCTTCATAACCCCAATCATGAGTAGGATATATCTTACCCTAATCAACACCACATCTATTATCTACCAATTATTCAAAAAATTGCTTAAAATCATACTCCCTTTAAAAGCACGAGTTCGGGAAAATCTTTCTATGGTCAATATTACCCTTCACTATTTTAAATATTTTATTTATATCTTAATCTATCATAATTATATCTTATCCTAATCCTACATGAACTATCTATAGCTTAACAATTAAAAAATAATTAATAAAATATATAAAATATCTTCATGGTATTAGTTTGTTAAGATAAAGAAATTATACGTAGTTAACGTACTATAATACATAAAGTATTGCAAAAAAACCTAAAAGTTTTAAAACTGCACAAAATGCCCTGAAAAGTTTAAAATTATAAAAACTATCCTGATGTCTAAAAACTTAAAACAACAAACATGAAAACAAGAAATTAGCACAAGTTTACAAAGAATTTAAAATTTGCGGTTAACATCTCAATATCTTAAAAATTATAGAAACACCCTCAAAAGTTTAAATTACAAATAAGCACATGAAATTCTAAAATTTTAAAACTTGCAAATAACATAGATGAATTCAATGGATTACTATAATGCATGAAAATTTTTGACATTTCAAAACTTAAAATAACAAATATGAAATCAAGAAATTAACAGCAGCCTCTAAAGAATTTAAAAATTTTAATTAACACAATCAATGTCCCAAAAATTATAGAAATACCCTCAAAAGTTCAAATTATTAAAAAAAACAACCCTAACATTTTAAAAATTCTAAAATTTACAAACAACAAAAGATGAATTCAAGAGATTACCCTCATGCACATAAAAATTTATAATTTGTCGGAATTAACCTCAAAGTTACAAAAGTTGTAGAAAAAACTTTTTTCAAATTTAAAAATCATAAAAAAACTCTAAATTTTTAAAATTTATAACCAGTACACATCAAATCTGAAAACTTTAAAATTTATAACCAGTACACATCAAATCTGAAAACTATTGGTAGACCGCTAAAATTTGAATTTTTTAAAAATTAATCTATAATCTGAAAACTATTGGTAGACCGCTAAAATTTGAATTTTTTAAAAATTAATCTATAGTTTTAACAATTACAAAAAACAACCTAAAAATTTTAGAGTTGTAAGAAATATCGTGACATTTAAAAATTACCACCAACACATGAAACATAAAAGTTACAACTACCAAACTTAAAAGTAATTTTTTTAAAAATACTCCTAAAGTTTTTAAAATTACAAATCACACCCTCAAAGTTTAAAACCATAAAAAGGCTAAAATTTTAAAACTTGACAAAGAAAAGTAAAATTGTTAGATATTCTTTCATTAAGATATATATATTTAATTTCCAATTTAGGGTTTATTATCCCTTTTCAGCATCTAAAGATAGTCTAAGTTGATACTAATAAACAAAAGCAATAAGAATTGATAAAAAATATCCGGTTAGGGAATAAAAATTTAAAAAAATATTATAGCTTAAAAATTATTGTTATCATATAAATTAAAGTAACTGCATAAAATTTTATTAATAAGTTGGACCAGCAAAACACATTAGTAACATTAATTAATTGATGTTTAAATCCATAAAAATGATAAAATTTTATAATATAATAGTTTAGCATTAATTAATTATAATTTAAAAATATTAATCTCTGATGTTAATAATATTTATA